CATGGAGAGTAGTATCATCACACACACACACACACAGAGACCAGCAGGTGGCAGCAGCGAGACATGGAGAGTAGTATCATCACATACACACACACACACACACATCTGCTCGGGACAGTCATAAGATTATCTACACATTATTAGAGAACTTAAAGTCCCCATGAAATCAAAATGGACAAATTGTACTGTATCGTTTACTGTATCCCAGATAGCACACGTTCGTCTGCAAGATGTCTGTTAAAGATCACTTCATCTGGGAAGCATCTGCTGTTTACTGACATCTGATAGACATCTGTAAGATGTCAGCTTAACATACATTATAAATCATTACATCTTAAAGACATCTTCTAAACGTCTGTTTGACATCTGACAGGAAACGTCCTATAGACGTATTGCATTACAGTTTATTTTCGCTGGAATTACTGAACAAACGTGTTAATTAAAGGGTTTGTTTGTCCACATACATGTGGCCATATACTGTATAATGTGCTCATTATCGTTCACTACAACAGTGAATGTTTGTCGTGTGAATCTGCTGCAACACAAGACCCAGATCTCCCTGTTCATCTGTGTGTCTCGCATCATCCTGAAAGATGAAAAGTGGAGAAGAGCTACTAAGTGTTTCCATCTCCACAGCCTCATGCATGACGTCACTTCCTGTGGGTGGGGCTTCAGATGTGCAGTCAGATGATGATGGTGATGATGAACTGCTATCAGACGTCTTGTGTTTCAATATGAAGATCCTATGAATGCGAGCAGATCCGGTACACGAGCGATAACTGGAGTAAATCCGGACACCGCATAGACGTGGATGTTTTTAATATACAGCTAGTTATGCTATAACCCTTCCCACACACTAACCCTAACATAAATCTTTCTGAATTTTTACAAAAAACAAATCTTTATTTTTACATTGTTTTTTTTTTTTTTACAAAATGAAGACATCCCCAAAAGGATTTGTTTTGTTGTTGCCAGGTTTAGCTCAAAATATCAGATAAAAATATGGTTAATAAGGTATATAAAATTGTTCAATAAAATACACATTATGGTTAAGTAGAGGCACAAGAATGAAAGCTTCGTGTGTTTCTCTCTCATTATCTGTTGCAGTGTTTTGTCTGCTGGACCAGAGCACAGGAAGTGACCGAGATTCACTGCTGAGCCCAGAGGATTATGGGTGATTTAAACAGGCTTACCAGTGTATCGTCCACATCCGCCTACCTGAACCACATATATAAAGCCCACACTCTATAACAGAGACTCTGACTTCATCCTCTGCGAGTCACACACACACTAAACCCCACTCACTAGAGAAATCAGGACAATATCTATATAAAAACTCAGAGAAGGCCAATCACATACTGAAACCTAAAACACAGCGACCCCTTCTTACATCAGCTCAAAATTAAAGTGAAAATGGATTTAATTGCAGCAGCTTAACTTCATTTACAAGAACGTAGAAGAAACAAAACTCTCAACAAGCAAGCATATAAACGGACCAAACTAATGAACCAGAACAAAGGAAACATGCGCCAAACACAGGAAAACAGAAGATAGCCCTGACATTAGCCCCCAGGGCACCGGAAGACCGAGGCGAAGGCGGTGAAACCGAGGACCAAGGTGGAGCCGGAGGGACGAGCAAGCCGGGCGGAGCCGAGGGAGGGAGGGAGGAGCCGACTGCCAGACCTAGGAGGAGTGTCAGGCACGGAGGTCCTGGGTGGAGCTACTGGGTCAACCATCCAGGTCTGCACTGAGGAATTCTCAGACTTAGGAAAATCTTTGGTTAATTGAACAGGAGCTGAAGGGCTGAGGACTTGGCAGAGCAGGTGAATAGACAGGCTTGACAGGATCGGCCCTTTTGGTTGACCCGGAACAGGCAGGGAATCAGACGTAGGTTTAGTCTTGCAATATACAAAATATACGATATATTTGATCATAATATGCATAAATATATCTTATTTATTAAAAACGCTTGATAAAGAATTATATAGGCTATATATATATATATATATATATATATATATATATAATTATTATTTTAAATTACTTACTAAAGTAATGCTGGATTTAGAGGGCAGCAGACCTAAAACAGCAACTATGGCAAATATAACAGGGCACTACATATAAGGTTCTTGAAGATCCGTAAAAGCAAGTAACTTCAAAATACATTTAAATGTCTCAAAAACAGTAGAAAATAATCAGATGGCTTCCAGACTCACTGGATGGTATCACTGTCAAATTCAAAGGCACAGGAATAATTATTTCATAATGTCTCCGAAAGCAGTGATAGAGCTGTTGGTGGGAGTTATCTGTTCTGAGCTGTTGCTGACCTGCTCTTAGCTTTTGTTGATCTGTGCTGAGCTGCTGTTGGTGGTACAGACCCATATAAAGCTGTTATCACTGCATTTGTCCTCTTCTGAGATCTTGTCGCTGCTAACCTGTGCTGAGCTCATGCCACTGCCCTCTGCTAAACTGGACTGGACTGTGCTTGCCTTGGAGGCCC